CGATGAAAACCAGCTTTAAGCAACGGCGTAGTCGAACGGTACACACTCGGTAAGTAATCCTATAATTTTTTGTTTATAGCATAGTTTATACAGATTATTCCCAAAAAATTATATGTATTTTGGAAATGTTGAGTGGAATTAGTCTAGAATCGGTCAATTTTATAGAAGAAAACCTTTCGAACAGCCTTAGTCCGTAAAGTTCCCACCTATCGGGCTGCGATTGGCTCATGTATTTAATCGTTCCTACAACGTAATTTTCGGTTAGCGTGGAACGTATCTAAGCGTTATAGGGGGGTCTACTGTATATTAGAATTATATAGCATTTATTGTTTAATTAATAATTAAGTAGATCTCTAATAAAGGACTGAAGAGAGGCAAAAGTGTAATGCAATGCAAAATGCATTTCCTTGTATAATAAAGTTGACATAGTCAATTACTAGTGTGTTCACTATGTGATTAGTCCCCTTCAACAAAGTTTATGCTTATCACACAAAGAATCAAAATTTATGCTTATCATTTTGTCCAAAAATTGACAAACTCCAATACCATCACAACAATGCACCAGCACATAGAGCATAAATGATCTTAGAAAAGTAAGCAAGTCTGGGATGGGAGATCTTACAGCCCATACTCGGCACCAACTGACTATCATCTGTTTCACGTCCAGCAGAACCATATTGCCAATATACAGTTCAATGACAATACCCAACACTCGAGACTTTCTTCAAAGAAACCCAGTCATTCTATAGTCACAGGATTGAAAGTTTGCAGCAAACATGCAACTGATGCAAGCAAGATGCTATCGATATTTATGGTGATTATCTACAAGACTAAACTGTAATCACTGTTGAGTTAAGTGTCAATAAAGTATTCTTTCAAAATGTCTAAGTTTCACTTTTCAACCTGATAAAACTTATTTAAATAAATAAATCTTTTTATATAGGTAAATGTCTCTTCAATCCGAACAAAATTTCGGTAGACTTTCTCACAGCTCNTTTGATTAATTCTTGTAGATATATCATTACTAAATTTTCTAAATTTTTTTATTTAAAAAAAAATACAATAATGTAATAAAAAAAATTAAGTAAGACTATTATTTAAATTGTATTCTAAAAGTTCTTTAACTTTTTAGGAGCTGAGGGCAAGTAGGCATCTTGACCAGTGAGCAGTGTCCTGTGGTAGCCAAGATAAGAAAATTCTTCACCTGATTTGGAAGTAGATCCCATTCATCCACTTCAAGTATAATAGTGTTCTTCTATTTGTTCCTGCAAAACTTTGCCTACTGTCTATCATTACAGTAGTTCTACCCATCAAAGCAACAATTGGTTTATATTTAAGAGCTACTATTGACAGTATCATTGTTTTTTGACCCAATTTGTTCATTATAATAGTGTGAGAACCTGAAGTTTATTCAAGTATTTAAAATAATATTTTTAAAATATTATGTTAAAACAAAAAAAAAAAAAACTTATCTAATTTGTTCTCTTGATTCCTCTGAGTCACAGAGAGCAGGGAATTGTTCCTTTAGAAGTGAAAGTAACACTTCATAGTTCTCTTAGTAACAGAATGTGGAGAGTGTTTATGGATAATTTCATTGGTCCATCAAATTCATATATAAGGTGCCTCTTCACTTTTGAATGATGCTTTCCATCATGTTTAACCATGTCACTAGCCATAGGTTATGATCAACCTTAGCCTATCGATCAAGTTTCTTTTTGCTCTGGTGCACTCATCAAATAATAAAAGGATAGTCTGAGATTTCACTCTCCATCTTCAAGGTAAAGGTTCTCACTTATATGTCAATGACCAGGTAACAAAATATTATTCTTTGTAAACTCTATCTCATGACGATTATTGTATAGAGTTAGAGGATAGAGTAAGAAAACCTCATACAGGATAATGTATATCCACTGATTTATATTCTTATCTTATCGTTTGTGTCAGTTCATTTATTATCATTTCAATCATTCTGTTTGTAATATATCATATAGATGTTTAAATAAATATACTTAGTTATATCTTAGCTTGTTTAATGGTCTAACTCCATCAACCTTTCCACAAAAGCATAAATCCCTCCTCACAAAATACCACTCGGATTTGCAACAACTATTTATCGCAAGTTAGAACACAATTCAAAACTTTTCTAACTGGTGTCAGGACCCTGACGTTAGATGGGAATTATCCATCCTGTTCAGTGAGCAAGGGTCTCCCCAATCTCACATTTGGTATCCGGAGTTTGGGTGTTTATCCCATACCTCTCAGCAGAGCTCACATTTGGTGTCAACAGAGTGGGGTTTAATGCCTCCCTACTGTTGGATCTCACAATAGTCAATATTCTTCATTTCTACATTATTCCTGTTGAAAAAGTAATTCTTGTTGGTTGTCTACTGTCTATAAATTGCAATAACATAAAAATGTTTTAAAATATACTCATTGACAAAGTAATAGGTAATAAGTGATTACAATATAATAGCAAAATCACAATTTCCTGTGAACAATGCTACAAGTTAAAGCAACCTTTAGTATCCTATCCCAACAATCCTGTTTGATGTAAACAATGAATTAAAGCAACATAGAAAACATTTTGAACCAGGCACTAATTCTGTAGTTTGCATAAGTGAAAATTGAGATTAATGGTGAGTCATCTGTCAGAAGAGGAAAAAGCTGCATCAGGCAATTGAAAACAAGCAGGTTATGCAATATTACTGGTCTGTTGACATGATTCCTCATGTCAATAGACCAGTAACATGCAAGATCTCCGAGGGGAGGAAGCCTTGGGTCATTTTGATCAATGTCCCAAACTCAATAGAAGAAGAAAACATCTCAGAGCTACAAGCAAAACACTAAATTCTGGAAAGACTTGCATAGGGATTCCTTCTTTCAGAAATGCAGGATTAGCACTGCCTATCCAGGGGCAAGAGCAGGGTTGGGGAGAGCTGCAAGTATGTCATTTTGTCTGTTTTGCCCAGGATCCAGGACAGCTTGGTGGCAGCCGAACACGTGTCCATGTCATGGGGGACTATAAGCATCAATGACTTCATACCCCTCCTACATTGCTTTCAGTGTTGTGACTATGGTCACAGATCTACCAAGTGCACAGATATCCAGAGATGCAACCATTGTCCCAGGAGCCATAAATTCACAGACTGCTGGAAAAAAGAAGAGGCTCCCTGCTACATTAATTTTAAGTGGGCAAATAAAGACCTCCTAGATAATAAAAACTCGGTATGAATCATGTGCCTAGAGTCATAGTTGTCTAGTAACATTAAGAATGAAAACCCTATCTGTTAAACTAATTATAGGTTGTAGGCAGTATCAGGTCCCTAAATTGGATAACAACACATTAATCTGTCAAAATATTACCAATCCATTCCAAACGAGCAGTTTTAGTTCTAACTATCCTGCAAATTAATGTACAGAAGTCAAATGTTGCATCAACACTTGCGCAAAAAATGGTAGATAATCATAGGGCTAACCTCATTTTAATCCAAAAGTGCTACCTTATTCAAAACACTATTGTTTGCTTTTGAGGTGGCAAATCTTTCCTCCTAAGGACTTCAACCATATTATAAAAACAAGCATTCTATCTTGCAACAAGAGTTTCAATATCACCTTCTGCCCTAACCACAGTATCTATTATGTCACCACTGTTCTCCTTACATATAATAATAAGACTTTATACCTATCTTCTGTCTACTGTTTCCCTTTTGAGTGCATCAATAATCTCTTGGTGAACCTACTGAGGATTAAGGACAGTATAAACTCTCTCCCTTGGATTGTTGGTGGAGACTTTAATGCAAAGTCTGCTGCCTGGAATAGCCCACAGGAGGAGGATACCAAGTTTATGAATTCCTCTCTAGGAATGGTATGGCTTCCTGCAACACCAGCCCTCTCCCCATCTATTCCTGTACTAGGGAAAGAGTTGGATCAACTTATGTTTGGCCAACTAGCAGGCACAGCGCCTTGTCCAGTTTTGCCACTCTCCTGAAAATGATAGCACCAGTAACCATTGCTATATAAAAACTTCTATCCACATTACAGAACTGTTAGTCAACAATAGTTAGCAGGTAAACAAGAAGACTGACTGGCATCTCTTTGAGGAACTTTTCAAAGCCTATCGGGCACAGCCCAATGTTGGGGAATAGCTGATATAAGCAATATTGATTCCCTGGCCAACCATCTTACTACATCCATTCAGTCTGCTTACTGGAGCACCATCAGGTTCACTGAGTTGAAGCAAAGGCAAATGGTGTAACAGAGCTCTTAGCTCACAATAGCAGATGGTTCATAGGCTCCAGAAAACATATCAGAGGAAAAATGATCCAGCAGCAAGGGAAGTTAAGAAACATGAATATACCCATCACTCTAAACTTATATAAACCCAAGATTGACAAGGCACAAATACTTTTCATCAAGTTTTCATTCATTCAAAACATTCTTCATCAATAGAATATATTTTTCTTACTATAGTATTATACTATTTGAAGTCTTTTTGTTCAATTCCTTATAAAATATCTGAATATAGTATATTTTCAACTCACTCTTATCTCTGCATTTCGTGGTTGACCCGTCAGATCACATTTACTGCCATTATTATAATATTGACTGTGGTAACGCTTCTGTCGGTTCTCACTTGATTTATCCTGAAGTTTTAATTAATTAAATAAATCAAAAAAAAAAAGACACTTTATAATTCTTAATAAATAAACAAAAGAAAAAAAATTCTAAAACACACTAACCTTGTTAGTTTCATTGTCCCAATCAAAATCAGAATCGTACAAGCCAAGAGTGATAACTTGGCCAACTATTTTACTATCTATCAAAATTTTATAAGAAAGAACACATTAAAATGTAAGTAATAATTTAAACTATTAGTACAGTATTTCACCAATATACCTTCTACATGATACTGTTTGATATAATGGCCATAACAAAGTTCATATGTCCACCAATCCTTAGTCTATATAATAAAAAATAATTTATTTATTTAGTTATGCTTAATGTTAATGTTTATTTATATCACATCAAATTAAACATTATCATCAATAAAATAATGCTAAACATATTAATTAGTATGTAACAAATAGAAAACTTTTTATCATTGTAAGATGCTTTTAGGACAGTTTATATTCTCAATGAAAATGAAGTGGAACAGTCATTTCCTAGAATTTTAATAATTCTATTTTAATTTCATTTAGGAATTATTACAAATTATTTAATGTTAAAAAGATATGATTAATTAACTTGCAAATTCCTTACAACAAATTATGCATGAACTTAAGTGCAATTTATATTCATTTTTATGTAAAATATTTATTTAGATAACAAAAATGCAACTAAATAATTAAAATATAAATAAAAATTTAAACTGTTAATGCATCATTTTGTTATAGAAATCTCTATCATCAATTTGTGATTTTTTTTAAATAAGTTGCTTTAAGATTTACTATTTAAACAAAGAAATGCAGTTAAATCTCATTATTACATTATAAGTTTATGTTTGATATGCCAAGGTCAGGGTTCCTACTCAAATTTTTGTTTTAAATACCACGACTTTTCCTGACCAATTTTGTACAAATTCCTGACTGTCATCCCTTACAGTTGCATTTTTCAACTGGTGGTCCGCAGACCTCTGTGAGGGTCCACCATCCATCATGGTGTGGAGGTTTTAGGGATCCACAACAAGAGAAACATTGAGAACCACTGCCTTACAGTATGGCACACTGAAAAATAAAACAGCATTTGACTTACTGTGCACACATGCTATTGCTTCTCAAGCTTTTTAATTAGTTAATATTTAAATTAGTGAATAACAGTTATATTTTTATAATTGCTGATTTATTAAAATTACTTTAATTTAATTAAACACTTTATTTTTAATTTATCCTGTTAGAAATCCACAACCAAAAATCTACAAAAATTTGAAAAAAAAGAAAAGTCATTATTTATTATTCATTAACAAATCCTGTATAATCCTGTATACAATCAGAATGGAAGAGCAAGCAGGGGTGTACACTATCCCATATAAAAACCAACAAATAGGAGTCGATAAAGAATATGTAGGGGTGACCAGAAGAAACCTTGCAGTGCGTGTAAAAGAGCACAAATACAGTGTTAGTAAAGGACTTAATAGCACGATATTGGCAAGCATGGCACAGGCGGACGGAGCAATAGTTAAGTGGGATGAAGCAAAGATCATAAGAGCAGTGCACTCACCGTCTATAGCGATGGAAATGGAAAAAATAGAGATATACAAAAGTAAAATGAGGAATCAATGTTTAAATGAAAAGGATGCAAATACATTACCAACAGCATGGAAATACAAAATACAAAAATGTATGGGTTTCAATAATCCATAAAGTAGGAACTGGGGTTTATAAGAAGTTATTACTTTATAATTTAGACACATGTAAAAATATGTTATTTAATGTTATTTAATGTTTGTAACACGTATTTTATTTTATTTTATTTACTTTATTTTGTTTATTTATGTAATATACAAAAAGTTGTTAACTTATTTCAAAAATTCAAATCAAAATGAAATTCGANTCCTCAGAGATGGTGGTGTGATTTTATAACAATGAAAGGATTTTGTTTGTTGAGGCTGGGGATGCAGCTTAGATGGGAATGCACGAAGTTATCAAAATATTAAAACACTAAAAATAAAAAAGTTTTAGTCAAAAACAAGTAAAATTATACTCTTTCTATTTCCGACTTCGAGTATTCTACGAGCCAAAAAATGAAGAGCATTACTTACCATCTGTGAATAAATAAGTAAATGGTCCACAATATTTATACAGTAGAAAAAATCTTTTCTTTACTTTCTGGCATTTAATAGTAAAAGTTTGCAATTGTTATTATCTTTGAGATAATGAAATAATATCGATTCTTCCAGAAAAAGTGATAAATAAAGCAACGTTAATATTCTTTGAATTTGCAAACAATTCAATTTTTCATTTTACTCCATTTTCTGTTCATAAATGTAAAAATACCTATCAACGTGACTTGCGTATCTTTTCCAGCTGTTATGAGTTTTCATTAAAAATCTTTTATATTATTAAACAAAATATAAAAATGTGTGGCTTCATCAGTTATCAGATTTTGTTATAAAATTTTTTATAGTTTTAGTAACTATAAAATGGCCCAAAAAAAAAACCTAATTTTGATGATAGTGGTGAGTTTTATAAATGAGTGTAAATGTTAATAATGTATAAAGTCTTCATTAAGTCTCATCCCTTTCGAGATATATGAACCCCTTCTATCATCTCATAATCTCGACTTTTAACCACCAAAATTTAATAGCATAATGCCCCTTATATAGAAGCCATCGAGCCAATTGTTTAATTCTTGCTGCATTTTGAAATATCAAGCGAAATAGATGCCAACACACACAAACATAAATACATATTCACGGATTGTTTTTGCTTTTTTGACTTTTTTTGGATTTAGGTCTCAAAACGGGGAGGTTTGCAAAACAACTCGTAGGATGAAATTTAACACGATTCTTATACTTTCTCTTATTACGTAGACAACAGCGAGGGAAGTAAAACAAGGAAAACAATGAACTTCTTGAAAAAAATGATCCTTGTCAAATGCGAGTTTCATAATAAACATAGAATCTGTTTTAAATCTCTTTCAAAATAATTTTATCTTTGTCAATAGTTTGAGGACGGCAGTAGCAATTGGGCATACATCGCACGAGGGCGATGTCATCAAGGTGGCTTCAAAAGACGTAATCAAGTGGCTGGTTTGAATTACGAAATAACAAAACACGGAAGAGATACCATGGCCGGAACCACGTTAGAAAATATACAGAAAAGATGAAATTTGCAAAAGTGACGTTTATAAGTTAAATTCCAGTCAACACACTTTCGGCAATCAAAAGAAGAATTACTTATTAAAATGAAATATAGTTTACGAAAGAAATTTTTTAAATTCAAATGCTATAAATCAACAGATTATTAACAAATAAAGTAATTCAGGTCGTGTCTGTATGTTTTACAATAGAAATAAAGTAAAACAAACGCGTACGAAAGAAAAGCATCTGTTTGACCTAAAATGTAGGCCTGTTTATCTAAATATATAAAATTGCTTGTCCTGACTGACTGACTGAATAAATCAATCACTCACTGATTCATCATCGCCCAGAGCAGACCGCTTAACCTAAACAGGTGAAATTTGGTACACAGTTAGGGTACGTCATGGAAACGCACACTAAGAAGGGATTTTTCTAAATTCCTCCGCGGTAGAGAGAGAGAGAATTAAGGGTTAACAAAAAGAACGGCTTCTACTGCACTCTTTTAGATGCAATTTTTTCTATTTATCTGCGCTGTGGTAGAGTATGCCATGAGAATGCACACTAAGAAAGGATTTTTTGAAAATCCCCGGCGGAAGAAGGGGGAGGATTAAGGCTTAACCAAAACAACGGCTTTAGTCTTCATCGAGTACTTACATGTATTAAATTAATAACATTTCAGACATTGTTATAAATATTTTTACGTATTTCGATTTTTAAAATGTTCGAACCGTTTTAAATTCGAATTTGTTATTGCACATTTGGTTCGATTATAGAAGAATCGTAAACGTTCCAGAAAATTGATCAAATTGAAAATAGTTCGTTTGGTTCTCAGCAAATTTCATCATTCTCAGCGGTAGGTGTTATATAACAATTACAGTAGAGCGTCGATTTTCCGAAAGTCAATCATCCGAAACGTCAATCATCCGAAAAAATTCCAGTCGGCAAATTTAAATTTTCGTCAGTGCTGTGGCGCTTCAATCTTTGGCTATGTCTTGGGCTACTCAAATATTTTACGTTTTTGATACTAAATTAACATCTGAAGTATAATTTTTTATTATTTTTATATTTTTCAATATATTTATTTTGTTTGTACAAAATAAAAAAATAATTTTTAACGATACAATAGTCTTTGTTAGGCTTAACATCGACGAAAATTCAAAGCGAAGCGACACGCAACGGAGAAAAATTTCGACATCGGATACGTTAAACTATCTTTTCGTACGTAAATCAGTTATCCGAAATATCAGTTATCCGGACAACCCCAGTCCCCAATTGATTCGGAAAATCGACGCTCTACTGTACTATGGTTATTGAAATACTGAATATAAATGAAGTTTGCTTGCAAAATCCGTGCGGGCAAAGCCGTGAGTAACAGTTAGTCTCTATATATTTAATTATAAAGATTGGATTCGAACTGAACAGCACAAATTTTTCCGATCAAAGAATTAGATATGTTTACAGTCAAGATTATTTCAAAGTTCACAACTGAAAAGATTGTATTTTTTTAACATATAAAAAAATGCGTTTTTGGTCTGTTAACTACTTTGCATATAGCAATAACCTTGCAAATGAACATAAAACATTAGCTAACTGATTTAATCCTTTCACCGGTAAACAATTGAAGAGCGACGAGTGAAGTAATTTTATATGAACTAAAGGTGACAGCAAAGAAAACGTCGTAAGTACAGTAAGAAATTAATTTCAAACTAAGTATAATACAAAATTTAATTCAAGAATTGTGAATTGAATAGTTTTTTAGTATCAATAAGAAAGCTTGCCAAATAACAGAGAATTGAATCTCGAATAAAGAGTGCAGATTTTATTAATACATGAGCGTAAAAATGGCGATTTTCTTTCTATTATTGCAAAAAAGCATCAAATATCACGAGAAGGTGTTAGAAAAATAATGGTCAAATATTTAAATAACAGTACGGTGAGAAATTTACTACGAGGACACCGCCATTAGGCCATAACATCAAGAGAAGAGGCAATGATTTACCGTGAGACCACAAAAAACTGTTTTATAACTGCTAAAGAAATAAAAGAACGGCTTGTTCTTGAAGCCAGTGTTTCAACTATTAATAGAAGATTAAATAAAAAGAGTTTCCACGGAAGAGTGGCTCGTAGAAAACCAATGATTTCAGCAGAGAATCAGAAGGAAAGAT